TCAAAACTATATGTGTTCTGCGGAAGGAAGATCACACACTTCTAAGAAGACGCCATAACGGGTGTGGTGGGTGTGGACCATGTTGTATATTTTGTAAGCAGCATTCATAAATGGAGATATGCGAAGCTTTCTGAATGGACATTTTAAGGACCTTACAAACTCATTACAATCTCTTTGTGGACCGAAGGATACCCCTTCTGCAAGTCTGGTTTTTTTTTAAAGATGAACATTTCTGCCAAAGTAGGAGAAGAATATGTTGTGCCTGTATAAAATGCATGTGTAGTTATAAAGGCCTATACAATCGATGGGAGGTACGTACTACTTAAGCACTAATTTTTTTTAGATTTTAATGTTTGAAGGAGCTAGAAACTGCGCACGATATTCACAATCGAAAGCACGTGTAACTCAGACTAAATAAGGCTCGTCCTGCGAGTTAGAGACTGGTCGCGATAGGGCCTGCCCTCTTTCATTTCCAGTCTTGGCACCGGATCCAGGTGGGAGTATAGAACAGGGAGTGAGATGGGTGTCGCGCGAGTCTACTCTCACTATAACCCAATGTAAGTCATCATCCCTGCACGAGAGGCTTCGTCGAAAAGGGCGATCGAACTGCCGGTCAGAGCACTGACGCGAAAGTAAATAGTGATTCGTGATAGTCGGACGGCGTGATTTTGTTATTTACGTAGTGCGCATTAGCCTTCTTTTTGAGGCATATTGCGCGCCAACAAGATAGTTATTTGACTTGGTACCAGAGAATGGAAGATGAATCAGTGCCCAATTGTACGTCTCGACAAGTCGGCGACAAAACGGCAAGGCCTTTTTTGCAAATCCCAGACTGTTCGGGTAACCTCCTGCAGTTAACGACAAACGAGATCTTCAGTCGAATGTATTTGTTGGGAGTGGGTACGGCCGTGAAAAGAATCAGAGCGAAACCTCCAAAAAGCATTCTGCTCTCTTGTGATAGACTTCTGTGAATGGACACGATTGATCCAGTAATAAAGTATGCTTTTAACGGTGAAAATTACTAGACGTTTGAAAAATCCTATTTGCGCGATTATGATTCCAAATAAGCGGAAAAACAAGCAAATGGTCATGAAGATTTGGCCAACGGAGGATGGGTGGACTTACCCTACGCCTAGGACAAACATGTGTGGATTTTCTTGCAAGATGTCACCCTCACGACTTTTAGCCAACTTGTAAGCTATGAAAAAGATAAAGCATAAAACTTTGAGTCATTTAGTACAAAGGAAAAGACAACGAGCATCGCTATCCAGTCGGTGCTAATATTGAATTACAGTAACCTGCAGGCGCTCTGAAAAATGCAGAAAATGGGGCATTCCGGGCTTTTAGTAACATTACGCTGGCAGCAAAGAGTGTGATTAGCGGACGAAGTTTCTCTACAAAGACTTCAACTCTCCAGTTGACTTAATTTCACAAAAAGAGCTAGAGGTGTGCTGGGCGAAGGCTACAATTAAAGGCGAAATTTTTAAAGTTGTGTGAGAGTTCACTTAGGATCCTCTATGGAAAATAAAAGGCATTTCGTATTTATCTGGTATATACAAAGCTAAATCCCTAAGAAGGCAGTCTGTATAAGGAGGCTTATCTTTAACTACCGAGGCCTTCTCCGTATCTCGTGTCCTACAAGCTTAGGGTAGTTACGCTGAAAGAGCACTAAGAGAGTATTTTTATGTTCCAAAGATTAAACTATTTTCGAACTACTTCCAGTTCACAGAAGAAAAGCGCGAGAATGCTGCAAGTAAACAGTCCTTTTTGCGAGCATAATAATTCAAATTGTTGAATTAAACCTGCTAAAGCACGTACAGACAACGGTTGCTGTGGTTCCGATGTAGCCAACGTCAAAAAACATGAAGTGCTGGGCGTTGGCATCAAAAGACTTGTGACGAAAAACGCCGTAATTAAGAGCCACCGCGGAATTGCTGTTCATTAGTTGCAAAACCTCGATACCGGCAAGCTCGGCGACGCGTAGAATAGCAAGACGATCGGACTGGGTAAAATGGCTCGGTACAGTGATGACAGCAGTGTTCATCGGGGCACCTGTAAGAAAGATAAAAGCAGGATACATTTGATTGAATTTGGATATAATTCTGTTCTGGCGTTACTGCAAATAGCATTCTAAGTTAACAAGTATGTTTTTACATGTAGTTAAAAATAGTCGTTTGTTAGTCGATACGTATTATTTTCTCTATTGTGTTCCATTTTCAGGACATGAAACATAACCTAAATGCAGTGCTTGTAGAAGTTATGTAACACTAGTAAGATGCAAACAAAGGAAGTTTGTAAGCAGAGTATTAATAAATTTCATCAGATAAGAAATTAAAAAAAACATTGACAGAGAGGATCGGAATGTTCGAAAAGTAGCCGTTTTATAAAAAAAAATAGGAAGTCGGTATCATGCCAGTTATTGGGCAATAAAACAGATGAGATCATTCCATTGGCAAAATGACGTTTCAGAACTCAAATAAGCGGAGTTTATACACAGCCCTACTCAAGCCTACCCGAGAATTTTTCGGCCGTATCCCTCAGATATTCGAAAAACATGCCCAGCAGTTCCTCGGCGGTGAAATTTTGATCACTAAAAGAAAATGTTCTTGAAGAAACAAAACTTACTTTATTGTGAAGGTAAGTAAACCATTTGAATTGTTAAAATGCAGGTTGTGATAAGGATACCGCTCCTGATACTTTTTTACGGCTGGATGGTCAAGTTTCTTGCCGACAATTGATGGAAGATCCGCAAATGCCGTGAGTGGATCTCGTTTAGCCTAAAATGCCCAGAAGATCACTAGCACAGACTTGAAAATATAAAAGAAAAATGCAAATAGGAGGAATAGATACGGTATCACGTAAATTAAACACCGATGTCCCGTAAAATCATGAAAAAGGCATTATATTAATTCATCGCGCGATGACCAATTAGACTGCATTGGAATAAAACCGTTCAAAGGAATGGTAAAGGGAATGACGACGCGTGCACAAAA